AAATGGGTCTCCAAGGTGTGGAAGGCTGTCCCTGTCGCCGGCATTCAAAACCTGCAGCATCTCGAATGCCCTGGATGGCTCCGATGACTGTTTGTGCCTGAGGCACATGCGAGTCCCCAAGGAGGCCACCGTGGATGTCAACGATGAGACCAGGGCCGACGGATTCACGGGAGACAACTCGACCACGGCTGAGGAGGAGGAGGAGGAGGAGGAGGGTTGAGGAGGAGGGTTGAGAGGAGGGGGAGAAGGGAGCTCACTTGGACGAGGCGACGACTGTAGGACATGGTAGACGAGGCAAAGCTTGTAGAGATTGGAGGTTGTGCATCTGTTTAGGTAGTCGAGGTGTAGGCAGTAGAGCATGGCAGATGATCTAATTGTAGAAGTTGACTAATGTAGATGTGACTTCTTGCATCTAATTAAAAAGCGTAGTTGTACGAATTAACAATTAATGCATGAAATCGATGCTTATTGGGGGGGGGGGGTGGTGTTAAATTATATATTTGAGATATATATAATGGTAGGCTTGGTAGGTGTTACTGGATTCTACTGTAGAGGGTACAACCCCCCTTCTTGTATCCCTCTCTCTTCTAATCTCATACTCTTCTCTCTCGATATTTCTCCTTCCTAAACCTCACGCCATTCCATGGCTTCTCCTACTCCTAGCTAGCATTTTTCTAGTATTATAACAGGGGGGGCTTATAGGGATTAGAATCCTATAATGATAAGGGTGCATATAGATGGCACCTCCGATATGGCACCCCTCCACATATACGCACCATGGTGCGTTTCAGCCGGCGGTGCGTATATCATCGGGAATACGGTATTCGTGCAGTGTATCACTAGCTCATCCAGTTCATCCGACTACCACATGTCCTAAACCTGGGACCTCTGATGGCATACGGGGCAATTCTGTCTGCGGTTACCGCAACGGCTTTAGGAGGTCGCACTCCTGCAAGCACTCCATCTCAAAAGATCTTTAAGATGCAGCAATTGGTTAGGCAAATTAGAGTCAGTCACTTTTCTGTGCTACGAGCGTTGTTCTAGAGCATAGATTCGCTAACATATCTAACCACTAGTATGCTAACAATCTGGTGTGAAAATCAACTTCATTTGGTTGTCTTGGTTTTGAATTCTTTGCATTTCTCACCTATATGAAAACAAACTGTAAATGAAGACACTTTTTGGTGGGGTGTTATGAATTAATCGGAGTAATAACAGGTAGTGTAATAAAGGAGTCGTGATTCAAGAGTGTTGATACAAATGAGGGCTTAGGCATTTATAGGCACGAACAGAGCTAGCCGAGAACCACGCAAACAGGTTGGGCCGATTCAATTGGCGAAAGCCGCGGAAGCGGTGCGCGTCGAGGTTTGGGTTCCCAACATGGTTCGGGACCGAAGAAGTTGGCCGAGCCTGGAATTCCGAGAGTCGAGGGCGTACGCGCTGTAGTCGAGCCCAGTAAGGGAAAAGGGAATTTCCTTACACCACCCCCTCTTCCGGGATGAGACTACCCACATCCGGGACATGCCGTCGGTGTAAATAGTCCCGGACGACTTAGAGCCTTAGAGCCCTTAGAGCCCTTGGTGATGAGTCGGTGCTGTTGCAGGAGAGAGAAAACTGCTTCCAAATCCTTCAAATACTGTTCCCGGGTAGTGCTGTAGATCAGGATGTCGTCGAGGTACACGATGACGCATTTATCCAGCAGCGGTCGAAAAACTTCGTTCATGGTTAAGTGGAACGTCGAAGGCGCGTTGGTTAAGCCAAATGGCATAACCGTGTACTCGTAACTCCCATATCGGGTCTGAAGCGCCGTCTTATAGCAGTCAGCTTCATTCACACAGATCTGATGGTAATCGCCTCGCATGTCAATTTTCGAAAAGAACTTGGCTCCACGAAGTTGGTCGATGAGTTCGTCGGCACGCGGGATAGGATAGCGGAACTTGATGGTAACCCGATTCAAGGCGCGGTAGTCAATACACATTCGTAGACCGCCATCTTTCTTCGGGGTGAACAGGATCGGAGCTGCGAACGGGGAAGTGCTGGGGCGAACGAAACCTTTCTCGAATAGGTAGTCCAGCTGGCGTCGAAGTTCATCCAGCTCGGGCTGAGTCAGCGACCATTGAGTCCAAACAGTCGGTTGCGCGCCGGGCTCCAACTCGATTTTGTGGTCGTGGTCTCGCTCAGGGGGCAAACCCGCCGGTAGGTCGTCTGGAAAAATGCTGGCGTGTTTCCGAATCACCATTGCTAAATCATCAGTGACAGCTGCGAAGAGTTTGTCGATGTCGGTTGGCGTGTCGACAGCCGTTGATGCGATCCATCGGACGGCATACAGTTGCGCCCCTCGAATCATAGCTCGCTTGATCGTCACTGAGCTGACCGTCGATGTGGTCGAATCTTGACAGCTCCACTTGGGTAGTCGTCGCCACTCGCCAATCTATTTTATGCGACAATCGTCCGTCCGCCAGTCGATGCTCGGGTTGTATTCGCGCAGCCAATCGCGTCACAGAAGCATGTCGCGGCCATCCATAGTCGTCGCCAGCATCTTCGTCATGAAACTGATTTTTTCGCCGCATATTACTCGCAAGTGAGGCACTCGCTCCCGAATGGCCAGTGGTGTGCCGTCGACCAATCTCGCGTCGATTTCAGGCATGCAGCGCTCCAGTTGCAGTCGCAATTTTCTCGCCTTCGTGACGTCCATAAAACTGTGGCTCGCCCCGCCATCAACAAATATTTTGATGCGGGTGTCGCCAACTCTCCCTTCAACCAGCACAGGATGATCAACCGTTTCACCCCTCTTATTCAGCCAGGAATGGTCGATAGCCCAAATCGGCACTATAAGCTGGTGGGGGTGGTGGCGTTTGGGCGACGTAGTCAAGTCAGTAGGTGGCCCATCTGCTACTGACGATCTCCATTTCCCGACTGCTTCTTGTCGTTAAGTAAGTTATTTTTCAGCTGTGGGCAGTCCCTCACCATGTGACCCGGCTGGTTGCAGTGGAAGCAAGTCCCCGAAAATACTCGGGCTGCAAAGACGTCCACGCTGCTGATTGATGTGTGTTGGGGCTGGCCTCGAAAGCGATTTCCCTCCCGGAAACCCGTTCTCGCGAGTCCACGTCGTGCGTCCAGCGCGTCTGCGATGCGAACGATTTCGTTGAAGGTCGTCGGGGCTCGTAGGACGATCTCTTACTGAATCTCCGGCTTGAGACCACCCACGTAGCGATCGATTTTCTCGTCTACGCTAATCCCTCCGATTTGGTCGCAGATTGCCAGAAACGACGCCGTGTATTCTTGGATAGAGCCCAACTGTCTCCACATCCGAAGCTTTGTGCGAGCATTTTCGCGCATGGATATGTGCTCGAATCTGCCCTTCAACGCTTCGCCCCACGCTTTCCACGATCGAATCGTGGCCGATCCAAAGATTGGTTCTGCCTTCGCCATTGATAAACTCATCTCCCCATCTGCCGCCAGTTGATTCCCTGCCGGGGCTCCTCCCTCGTCTAGATGCATGGCGCCACCAGTCGAGTGTCGGTCCCCTCAGCATCGACATAGCCAAGTTAACACGTGATGCATTGTCATTAATACTTGCTGCCGTGAAGAAGATTTCCATGACAAACAGCCACCCGCTCACTGTAGTTGTCCTGTCGGTCGGTTTGAACGGTGGGGGCATTTGAGACTTTGATTTTAATGGCCGCCCGCGGCTCGCTGTGGACTTCGTCAACTGCTTCAGGTGTCGCCGACGCCCTCGCTTCGCTCGCAGCATCTTCGTCTCGGGTAACAGGCCGCCCTTGACGCGTTCCACCCCGCGTTTGGCGAAACGACGAGTTTTCGTTGCGCAGCATTTGCACTTCGCTTCCCAGCGACTCGAATGTGTCGGCGAGTTGTTGAAGCTGGGCCTGTAGTGCCATCACTGTAGCCGCCCTGGCTTGCAACCCGTCAAACTCCTCCTGAGTCACGTTCCTAACAGTACGACGGGCAGAGGTCTCAGGCGTGCTAGTCATGCTGGAAATTTTACCTAACAGATGTAAGGGTGCACACGCTTTCTGTTGGAGGAGCTTTAACGAGCTCGCCTACCAACCGCTGGCCAACCCTCTATTCTGTCGGGTCCTCTCCCGATATCATCGGACTACTCTACGGAAGACTAAGCGGGAAGGAAAGGGGCTCTGATACCATATGTTATGAATTAATTAGAGTAATAACAGGTAGTGTAATAAACGAGTCGTGATTCAAGAGTGTCGATCCAAATGAGGGCCTAGGCATTTATAGGCACGAACAGAGCTGGCCGAGAACCACGCGAACAGGTTGGGGCGATTCGGTTGGCGAAAGCCGTGGAAGCGCTGCGCGTAGAGGTTTGGGTTCGCAACATGGTTTGGGACCGAAGAAGTAGGCCGAGCCTGGACTTCCGAGAGTCGAGGGAGTACGCGCTGTAGTCGAGCCCGGTAAGGAAATGGGAATTTCCTTACATGGGTGGACTTTGTAACAGCTAGCAATTCAAACGAACCCCTCTGTTCTTCCCTCCAATCCGATCCCTTTCCTGGCGATATCCCGTTGCGTGGGAACTGCGAAAGTCTCAAATCGACGGCCCACTGCACCCTGGGTCCACGATGCCGTTACAGGGCCGCTCATCGTGCTACATCGACGGCGAGAAGGTGTCTGTCGGTGTGGCACCAGTCAGTGCGCGGTGTAGCTTCCAGGTGTTGGGGGGGGCGGAGGGGAAGGGGCATTTTCCCAATTACACTGTGTTTGGGGGGATTTGCGGCCCCAACCCAACCCCGAGAGGGGTTCCCGCTCAATTTCGCTTCCATATGTGCGCGGTACGAGCTGGTTCTCCACGGTGCAAGTGAAAATTCCAGCATTAGCGAAAGGCAATTCTTCGTCTCAGCTTTTCCTTGCGCTGAAGGGCGGGAAGAGTGGATCCATGGGGGAAGAGCAGCGCCACTAGCCCTGGCAGTGTGGCACCTCGCAAGCACTAGACTAGAGCCACTACGAGTGATCCATTTGGTTCCTTCCCGAGTGAGCAGAGTGGAGTGAACAAGCTCTAGAGTACACCTGGCAGCTCGTGCACTCCACCTCACAGAAAGTAGGTCTTCCATGGCGAGGATGACACGAAGAGTCACATAGGCGGTGCTTCGACTTCGTCACTTCCCGTGCCACTTTCCCAAACATCCTGCAATGGCGCTGGACGTCACTTGGGGACAAGGCTGGGCTCTCGCCTCTGTAGGCGCGTTACTCATCGCCGTATACTGCTACTCCGTAGTCAAACCGACCCGACCGGGTTTCCCCAGACTAATCGCCTCAATTCCGGCTCTTACGGCGAACGTCTTTCTGCCGTGGATCTTCCGTCAAGAAGATCAGGTGCTCGGCGTCGCGGTCATCTACTGCATCACGGCATGGCTGAGCTCCTTCAAGCTGCTCTGCTTCTGCTGGAACACCGGGGTTCTCTCGACCCCATGGATCTCGTCCGACATCTACCGGTTCGTCGCGGCTCTTTCGCTCCCGATCCACATCCAGCCGATTACTACGAAAGCCGTCCTTGGAGAATTGGCTCCTGGTGTGACTAAAATGAGCGTGGTTGGCTGGATAATTGATGCCGTACAGTCGGAGACGTGGACTATGCTTTTAATCCGGAGCAGTTTGAAGATCCTGGTCTTCAATCACCTCGTGAAGCTCATGGCTAATCTCGACGCCGCCCCGCTCTTCCTCATGCACGTCGTCTTCTCCTGTAACCTCTTCCTCTTTGTAACCATCGTCTGCGAAACCCTCGCCGGCGTCGCAGCGGCGTTCCTGGAGATCGAGATCCTGCCGCACTTCAACCACCCGTACCTCGCCACGTCATTCCAGCAGCTCTGGTCGCGCCGCTGGAATCTCACCGTCAGCTCGTGCCTTCGCGAAGCGGTTTTCGAGCCCGTGAAATTCGCCGTCCTGCGGTGCACCACTCCTCGTACAGTCACACCTTCCCTTCCCCAGAATTTGACAAGAACGGAATCAGCGTCGTCTGGAAAGTCTCGGATGCAGAACGGCGAGAAGCGGAATGATCAAGCGCAGAACGGTGCATTGCACGACGGTGCAATGCAGAACGGTGCGATGCAGAACGGTGAGACGCAGAACGGTGGGCTACATAGTAATGTAACTGGGCGGAACTCTCAGAGCAAGGTACAAGGCGGCGACGCTTCGGATAAGGCAGCAGTGGAGGAGAGCAGAGTAGCGAAGCTGGTGGGGATGCTCGCGACCTTCTTTGTGTCCGGATTGGCCCACGAGATGGCCGTCTGGTACATGAGTAACCGGGTTACAGGCGAAATGACGCTGTTCTTCACTCTCCACGGGATAGTTTCGGCTACTGAGTGTTACATCTTGCGCCGACGGACAGGGAAAGAAGGCCGGGGCAGAAAAGCGATGCCATCTGCTGAAGCAGGAGGGATTACCAGTGAAGGGAATGAAGAGCAGTGTAGCGCTGCAGAGTGTGACAGAAAGCAACGTGACTCTAAAGAAGCTGATCTTATCAAAGAGGGGAAGGGGGTGCGGCTAAAGCTATGGGGGCGGAAGGATGTAGCTGCATGGATCTTTGTGGTGGGTAGCTCCTTGGTCTCGGCGCATTTCCTCTTCTTTGGTCCGCTCACCAGGCTGAGACTAAGCCATGAGGTGATCAGGGAAGTACGAACTGCTCTCGGACATATCTGACGTGGCGTTTTCCTAGGCACTTCAGAACATGTCTGACGTGGTGTGTTTATAGGTGCCTCAGAGCATGTCTGATGTGGCAGTCAGCGATGTGAGACATGCCCTGGGGCGCCATCTATCAGTAATCATTGCAGTTGGATGACCATTACTTGGTATGCCATTCCTGGAACCGGCCGTGCTGAGTGGCCGTCTGGAACCATCTTTTTGCAGCTTGTGCAATAGCGTGTGCCACTGCCACAGTTGAGCATGGTTTGCTGTCTACGGTAACGAAATTAGCTAGAGTGAGAGATACGGGGTGGTTTTGTGCTAAGGGGTTGTACTCTCCAAGAGTACGCACCTATCTAGCCTAAAGAAAAAATCCTGAGCCATCAGAATTACTTTGAAAAAACAACTGATTTTTCAATCTTTCTATACATTTTATAGTTCATGAATTTTGTGTGTTCAAGTCTTGGTTTTTGGGTGTTGGGCTGAGAAAAGCCCTTAGGATCTTTTGCAGAGACTAAGTCCCAGCTGTAGAGACTTGAGACTTGGAGTAGTGCAGCGGAAGTTGAGGCAGTTGAACCCTTGTACTAGTATGTGAGAACAAGTGATTGATTAAAGAAACAAGCATACAGCAATATATAGAAGATAAGGAAGCAGTTGTAGAATACAGTTACAGGAACGGTTTATCGAGTCGCACAGCGACTCGATTGCCGCTTCGGTTACCATCCGTGATGTTGTAACGGTCAGTCGCAACCTCCAGTTGCGACCTTTCGAGTCCTTTCGCATTCTTTGTCCGCCCCCTCGTGTAACCTCCGTTGACTCGCGTGCTCCCCTGTAATCTTCCTCGAGTACAGTGTTACACTTCAGAAACGCTTAAGTCCTTGAGATATTTCCAACACTCCCCTTCGTTTCTGGAGTGCTGGAGTGTTCAGATCCGGTGACGTTTGTTTGCCCGGTTAGGAGCATGCAGTAGTCGAATTTTGCTTTCGCCAATTTCTTCGTCAGATAATCTGCGGCCATTTCTGTCGTCGGGCAGTAACTGAGTTGAAGTCTCCCCTTCGCGATTTCATCCTTGACGAAGAAGTACCGCAGGGCGATGTGCTTGGTTCGATTGGCGAAGCCGTCCTTGTTCGCGATTTTTATCGCAGATTGGTTGTCGCAGAGGAGTGAGAAGGTGGGCAGGGTCGCGATCTTCGCTTCTTCGAGTAACTCTCGTAGGTAGAGTCCTTCCTTGGTCGCAGTACAAAGGGCGATATACTCTGCTTCAGCCGAGGATAGTGCGATTAACTCCTGCTTGCTCGACTGCCAGGAGATAGTTCCGATAGGTTCTAGTCGGTAGATGTAGCCCGTCCTAGACCGTCGATTTTCGCTGTCTCCCGCGTGGTCGGCGTCGACGTATCCGAGTAGTCGTACGGACGGTGTTGTTGCCTTGCTGTAGGTGAGCCCGATCGTCGGCGTGGAGACGAAGTAGAGTAGCGCTCGATTGAGTTCTTCGAGATCTTCCTGTTGCGGCTGCTTCAGATGTGTCGCCAGCTGGCTCGCACTATAGGATAGGTCGGGTCGGCAGGTTACTGTTGCGAATAGTAGACAGCCGAGCTTCTGTTGATACTCCTGGATTTGTTTCGCGGGGAGTTTTGTGGAGGCGCTACTGTTGTTCCCGTAGCGGTAGGGAGTTGGGACCGCAGTCGGTGTTAGACCGAATTTCTTCGCGACGGTGCTTGAGTACTTTCCAGCGTGTAGGTAGAACGCCGTGTCGTCTTCGACGACGTTCAGTCCTAGGTACTGCGTCACCTCGTCGGACACCGTGAGCGTCAGGTCCCTTTTCAGCTCCCCTTCGAACCAGGTGACGATGTCGGTGGTAGAACCGATGTAGAGCAGGTCGTCGACGTAGACGATGAGCAGAATGTAATCTCTTCCCTTCTGTAGTCGGTACATGCCTTGGTCATGTGGTAGCTGTAGGAATCCGATTTTTACGAGCCGGCCGTGAAGGTGCTGCTGCCAGAGCCGTGGGGCTTGCTTGATCCCGTAAAGGGATTTTTCCAGCTGGCATACTTTTGAAGGGTCGTCGATGAATCCGTGGGGTTGTTCGACGAAGATTTCGGCGTCCACAGGTGCGTACAAGAAGGCGTTTGCAACGTCGATTTGCCGTAGTGGTAGTTTCTTCGTGGCCGCGATGGCGAGTAGGATGCGCAGAGAGGTGTGACGGGAGACTGGAGCGAAGGTTTCTGTGTAGTCGGTTCCGTATCGTTGATCGAAGCCTCGTACGACCCATCGAGCTTTGAATCGTTCGATGGAGCCGTCTGAGTTGGTCTTGATGCGGTACACCCATTTCCCCGAGAGAATGTTCTTCCCGTTGATGCTCGTTGCAGGTACCAGTTTCCATGTTTCTCGGTCTTGCAGAGCTTTTAACTCTTTTTCCATCGCTTCCTTCCATTGTGCCTTATGTTCCCCCCCAGAGCCTGCGACAGGGTCGACGGCTCGCGCGGAGAAGGCGGCGGCGGGTGCTGGACGGAGACCCATAGTCCTAGGATCTGCAGTCCCGTGGCTGTGTGTCGAGGGGAGTTTTCATTCTCGGGATAAGCTGCTTCATCACCGTCTTCAGGATCGGGTAAGAAGTTTGGCCCGATGCGTTCGGAAATATTCGAGTCGACGGGGTGTGGTGTAGCGTAGCCTTGGTCAGCGAAGTGGTAAAAGGTGTCGAGGTTGTTGCTATCGAGAGGATTATCTTCATCGAGTGGAACAGGTACGGAGCAGTAGGGGAGTGGTCCGGCAGCCTCCGAGGCTCTAGGGACGTCTTCTTCTGCTGCGTCAGCCTCGGCAGCATGGTCAGCGAAGGAGCGAAGGCCCGCGAAGCCGTCGGTGGGGTCGTCTGAGTTGGCAATGTTGTCCAGGTAATGCTGCAGCGTCAGTCGCTCGTAGAAGATAACATCACGTGATGCCACCGTATTTTTGTCGTGTATGTCGAGAATCTTCCACGCGTGAAAATGTTTGGCGATGCCGAGGTGTAGTCCCCACCGAGCTCGTTGAGTGAAGCGTCCTGCTCGAGCTGTGTGGGGTCTGTATTGTACCATGCAGCCGAAAACTCGAAGTAATTTTGTGCTGCCCCTTTTTCCCGTCCACAGCAGGTGCGGTGATGCGTTGTTGGGGAGCGATGACGAGGACAACAGGTTGTGCAGGTGGACTGCATGTGTCATCGCGTCTGGCCACAGTGTATTGGGCAGCCTCATCCCCAGAAGCAGTTTTCGCATCGTCGTCTGCAAGGTCTGGTTCATGCGTTCTGCTACCCCCTGCTGCTGGTGAGCATAGGGCAGAGACACCAGGCGTCGGATTCCCCTTTCCGCGAGATAGGTCCTGAAGCGTTGTGACTGGTATTCCAGTGCACCGTCTGACTGGAAACTCTTGAGTTTGGTTCCTGACTCTCGTTCGGCGATTGGAAGCCATGTGGTGAAGGCCTCGAAGGCTTGATCGCGCGTTTTGAGATTGAAGTGCCAGACGTATCTGGTTGCGGCGTCGATGAACGTGATGACGTAGTTGAAGTCGGCTTCGGTGTCGTCTCGAGGCATGTTTAGAATATCGCTGTAGACCTTTTCCATCGGAGCGTAAGTGGGTGCGCTTGGATTGTGATGGGCTGGGAAAGGTTGATGAGGAAGATCTGCTTCGGGGCACGTGAAGCATCGTGCTCTTGGTCGGCGAAGTTCTTGGCCGCTCGTCGTTAGAAGGGCGTTACGTTCTAACACCTCTGCTTGTATTGTTTGTAGTATCGTGCTGTTTGCAGGATGTCCGAGACGTTGGTGCCAGATGTCGTCGGGAGCGCGGTGACCGGGCGAGCGGTGGTAGATGTCGGCGTTGGAGAAGAACGCGACGACCGAGGCGGGACTTCGACAAGCTTCTCGTGTGGCGGGCATAAGTTGGTCTGCTTCCGTTGGCGGTCCTCGTGTTGATGGTGGTGGTACTCGGCTGGGTCCTGCTGCCGATACTGCAGGTGATGGTTTTGTTGGGACGCTTGCTGGTACTTGTCTTTCTTGTCTGATAACTGCTAATGCCCGTGTTCTCTCTGCTGCAGGTATGGTGTTGGAGTGCCAGAAGCCGTCACTGTCGAAGTCGGGATCAAGATCTGGTGGGTGAGTCCAGGCGGCGAACGATACGATGCCATCGCTGTCGGCAGTTCCGCGGTCGGGGACGAAGTCCAACACGAAGACACCGGACTTCAGGAGGGCACGACCGATGAAGAGACCGCCCTTCCCGTGGTAAAGTCGGAACTCGTTGGAGAAGGAGTCGCACTCCAGGTGAATCCCCTTAGCCATTAGTTGGCTTACGCTTAGTAGGTTGTATCCCAGATTGTCGACGATGAGGACTTTGTTGAGCTGAAGAATAACGTTTGTCTCCATTGATTGTAACTGAACCACGCCTTGCCTGTTTGTTTTCAGGTTTTCGTTGTTGGCGACGGTGATGACGACGTCGCGGTTGAGGCGTCGCTCGTGTTGTACGAAGCGTCCGGAGGAGCACATGTGCTGACCGCAGCAACTGTCCAAGAACCAGGTGTTCCGCCTGGTGGGTTCGGCGTTAGCGACTGCAGCGTATGTCGGGTTGACCTGAAGTCCTTGCGAGCGCGGCGGCGGGAATTCCTCTTCGTCTGGTGCGTAAGTGGGTGGTGAAGCGGGTGCGCAGTTGTCGATGTGTACCATGCAGTTGATGATGTTGGGTGTTTGTTGTGCAGATGTTGAAGAGCGCCTTGGAGGACTTGCTTGAGTGGAAGCGACTTGTGGGTCTGCTGCACGGTAAACGCGAGGGCGGTTGCAGTTGACCTTGGAGTGCCCGGAAGTCTGACAGTTGTGGCAGAACGGCGGCACGATGGTGAGTCCTCGGTTGTCGCGTTGATCTTGCTTGCTGCGTCGGTTGTAGTTGTTGTCATTTCTTCTTTGAGTGTAGAAGACTAACTGCTGTTGCTTCCTTGGTTGTCTTTCCTCGAACAGATCCATCTCCTGTTGTTCAGCGTGAAGCTCGGCGCAGAGGTGCATCTCCGAAATTCTTCCGTGGGCTCGAAGAAGTGATCGTGTGGTTCTCCATTCTGGCCCGAGCCCGGCGAGGACAAGTGTCACGAAGCTTTCTTCAGTGATCGTTCCTCCGCACCGAAGCAGGCGGTCGCGGAGGGTCTGGCAGCGACTCATATACTGCATCGCCTTTTCCCCGGTCTTCATCTGTATTGTTGTCAGCTGTTGCATGAGTCTGCTTTGTGTCACGCTGTCGTTTGCTTGGTAAAGGCATTTGAGGTGGTGCCATGCGAGCTCCGCGGAGTTTCCATAACTCCGATACGTTCTGATGCTCTGCTGCTCTTGTGGTGACAGGTTTCTCAGGAGTACCGTGTACGCCAGCAGCGACTGATACGT